GGCTGTGGCTGGGGGAGTTGCACATGTGGCAGCAGGGAGGAACTGCCCAATGTTTATGTCCAAGGAACAGTAGTGAGAACAGAACTTAGGACACAAGGGAAAAGGAGCCTGGACAGACAGTGCTGCTGCCAGCACTCTCCCGCTCAGCCCCTACTGTGTGCCTGCATGGAGGGAAGTCCAGGACACCAGGCTGGCCCAGCCCACAAGGTGGCACACACCTCGTATGCAAAGTGCTCGGTGACCCGGGCAGTCTGGGTAGGGGTACTGAGTGCAGGTGTTCGTTCTGGAGGCAGGAAAGATGAAAGAAGGGGTCTGCAGGGAATGGGCACCGAGGTTACACAGGGAGGTTGCTCAGGCAGGGCCTGACAGAGGTAATATGATATGTCACAGGGTCATTTCTTGGCTGCAGCCAGTTCATTAGGACTCAGCCCTGTCCCTCTGGGTGGCATCCCTAACTTGGCAATATCAGTCTCTCCCTCTTTAGTGGATCATTCCTTCAAACTGTCAATGTACCCAGGGCATTCCAACCTGAACACCGTCTCCTTTCCCCCACAAGTGCTTCTCTTGCCCTGCCCCACTCTGTCTTCCTGTTACCGCCATGTGTCTCTTTATCAGCTCTCCCACGTATCTCTGCATCTCTTTACAAACCAGCTTCCTCTACTCTGCCCTTAGCTCCTGCTTCTGGCAGGTGGCAGCCCTACCCCCACAGTGACCTCAGAGTTCTGCTTCACATTCTAGAGGGAGCATACCTGACTGGCTCAGCTAGGGTCAGATGTCCAATGAGGGTCCAATAAGCTGTGGTCAGAGGGCTGCCTTAGCCCACACCTTCAGGAGGGGCCTGGAGTACAGGCAGGGCAGATACTTTAGAAACTTCCACCTGCATCCTTCCTGCCCCAGACAATCTAGGCCTTTGTCCTCCAGCAAACTCCTCCTGGTGTCCCTACCTTTCACCAACACAGGGACATTGTTGCTTCCCTCTATGGACCCACTGGTAGCTCTCTGTTGCCTGTGGGGCTGGAATCTTGAGTAGAACCTGCATAGGGACCCTTGCAGAAGTCACCTGCTCATTGCTCTCTCCCTTTTCCACTTCCCTCCTAGGATGCCTCAGTGCTCTCCCTGATCTCAGTGCTGAGCCCAAGCCTCAGGGTGCTAGACTTATCTTCCTGTGTGGCCCTCACCAACAGGACCCTGCAGGCCATCTGTGCCTACCTAACCCACCTCTCAGTCCTGCGCCTGGCCTGGTGCAAGGAGCTCCGAGACTGGGGACTTCTGGGGCTGGGGGAACCAAGTGAAGAGCCTACACAGGAGCCCCAGGTGCAGGTCATGGAAGGCAGGGGCGGTCCCTGGATTCAGCTACCCACCCCCACCCCCTGCCCCTCCTGAATGTCTCTCTAGGACCATTTGAGGGCCAAACTCAGGAGGAACCTGAGAAGCAGGAGCCTCTTCCCACAGCTACATCAAGAGTTGGAGCATCAGGCCTCAGGCCCCAAAGAGCCTCCCCAGCCACAGGGCCCTTCCCTGCTCATGCTGCAGGCCTTGCAGGAGTTGGACCTCACAGCCTGCATCAAGCTAACTGATGCCAGTTTGGCCAAGGTGTGGGATTGGGACTGGAGGTGTGGATAGGCTGATGATCCTGGCACTAGACCCAGGCCCAGGCCAACCCACTCTTTGCTTGGAAGAAGTTCCATTCTCTTTGGCTTCTGCTACCTCTGGCTGGGGGTGGGGGAACCTGGAAGAGCCCTGGGCTCCAGTGCCCTATCATACCCTCCCACTCCTCACCCCATCCTAGCAGGTGCTCCGGTTCCCCCAGCTGAGGCAACTGTCACTGAGCCTGTTGCCAGCACTCACAGACAAGGGTTTGGTGGCTGTGGCCAAGGGCTGCCCCAGCCTGGAGCACTTGGTGCTGAGTCACTGCAGCCTCCTCAGTGATGAGGGCTGGGCCCAGGCAGCCAGCTCCTGGCCGAGGCTGCGGCACCTCAACCTATCCAGCTGCAGTCAGCTCACAGAGCAGTGAGTTGTCTGATGATGCCACAAGTCAGTACAGGGGCTGGGCTGGGTCCCCATGCCAGGTCAGGCACTCACTGGAGGCCTCCCCACAGAACTCTGGATACCATTGGGCAGGCGTGCAAGCAGCTCCGGATGTTAGATGTGTCCATGTGCCCTGGTATCAGCATGGCTGCCATCAGGCACTTCCAAGCCCAACTGCCCCAGGTGGCCTGCATCCAGTCCCGCTTCGTGGGAGGGGCTGACCTGACCTTGACGCTCTAGGGGCAGGTCAGTAACCAACCCTTTGGCTCAGCCTCCATTGCCCTGAGTCCCCAGCCCTGACCTCTTGACCTGCAGTTTGACCGAATGCCTCCTACCCTCCTCTGCCACATACCCCAAGCTACAAACTCTTTTTCTAGGACTGGGGATAGAACTAATCCGGGGCAGCACAAGGGGCTTCCTGCTCCAGTTTGCCCTACAGCCCAGCAAGCGCCTCTTCCAGCTATAGGCTGCTGCCACAGGCCCATAGAAATGCCAGCTCCTGCTCTCCTGACCAGGCCTAGGTCCGGAGGCCAGGCCCACAGGTGGGATGCCTCTGATGTTGGGGAGGAGCCGACCTTGTGCCGCTTGCCCTGCCCACTTCTCACACCGAAGGCCTGTGCCTCACCTTGTTCCCTATAAGGAGCTCTCCCAGCCCTTACCAGCACGGAGTTTTAGCAGCCAAGCCACAGACTTTGTTGTAAACTCAAACAAGATTAAAAATTCCAGATCTTACCTCCTTGTCTGAAGTTCTCAGGCTAAAGGGCTCCCTCCCCTCCCTACCTCAGTTGAAGCAGCCCAGCCTAGCCCAGGGACAACGTGGACAAAACACCAGAGGCACATAGACAATTTCTTCCTTACACCTGACCTAAAGCACCACAGGCACCACCAGCAAGTCCTAACTTCTTCCCCAACATGGTTGGAGACTAGAAGCCTGGAGGCCTCTCCCAGCATGAGCCTCCAAGCATGTCTTGCAGGAAAGGCACATCCCAGACAGACCCGAGGAGCACAATGATTAAGGATGCAGTGGTCTTCAGAAAGAAAAAAAGAGAGAGGACAGGATCTCTGGCTTGGAAGGGTCATTAGAGGGCATCTAGTCCAACCTCCTAAACAGTGCCAGTGACTTCTCAACAGCAGCTCTGAGAAGCCACTTGGCCCTTCATGTGTCCACCCACACTTTGTCCATCTATCCATCAGTTCTAGGAACAGCTAGCATGGCTGCCTGAGTGCCTGCAGCACTGTACTTTATGTGGGGATTCAGAGGTGCCAAAGCTTTCCCAGCGCCCCGGTCATTGCGGGAGGCAAATTAGCCAACAGACAAGGACAGTCCAGTGTGCAGGGCATGCATAAATAGAGAAGCACCTGGAACTGGGAGCCCAGGGGAGCAATGAACATACCCTGGGAGATCAAGGAAAGACTCAAGGCAGTGAAAAGCGAGCAGAAGGGAAGGAAGAGGGCAATCAGAAAGGACCAGGGAAATGCACAGTGCAGGCCAGAGCTGGCACTGGGGAGGAAAGGGCGGGTCTCACAGGATGCAGGGAGGATGCCAGCTTGGATCAAGCACAGAGAACTCTGCAAGCCACAGGCCTTTTATTAGATGGCATAAACCACGTGTCTGCAGCCCATCTTAGCTCAACTCTGCTCAGTTGGGAAACTGTGACCATCATCCCATGGACAACAGGGAGGCACTGAAAAATACAGGTTGGGGGTAGTGTGCATGTGAGTGTATAATCAGATCAACTTCATGTTTGAGAAAGACTTGGGGTATTGAGGACCAGAGGAGCAAGGCAGGAAGTCAGGAGATTCTTGCCAAGATGTTGGTGGCCTGGACAAAGGAGTGGAGACATTGGGGAGGAGGAACTGATGCTATTAGAAGGCTTAACTGCATCTGGGATCCTGACCTCGATTTCCATTTTGAACTCAATAGCAAGTTGAACTATTCCAACTGTGGTGGGAAGTCTCTGAATGTAGGAGTGGGCATGTTGGGCCCTGGAGGCCTGAGTCAGAAGCAGGTGCTCTCCCAGCACATTCTCCAAAGAGATGCCATTTCATCAGTTTTCAAGGTAACATGTTGATGGTCAATACTGTTAAAAAGGTACTGAGATGGTGTTGAGAAATAGTGGTAGTGAGAGGCACGGAGAAGGTCAGAGTGGTGGCAGCTTTCAGCCTGCCCTGTGGGTTGGTGTGCTAGCCTCTGAGATTGACCTCCAGCTGGGCCCAATACCCCTCACCACTTTCTGTCCCCAGTGGTCTTGCCTGTCCGTGGCCACCACCACACCCTGCTGCTGCAGTGGATTTGAATCAGAATGCAAGGCTTGCGCTGAATTCCCTCATCAGAATCAACACATCCTTCCACCACCAGGGGACAGGTTTGAAATCTTGAGTTTGCCCTTCAGCACAAAGCAGACCCAGCTTCACATCTATTCCTTCATGCCTCTCACCAGAGGGCCTCGAAAAGGACAAAGAGCAGGGCCAACCAGGGCTGAGGACTGAGTTCAAACTGTTAGGAGCCTTTTAGAAACATGGCTTTCAGACTAGGCCCCTGCTCATGTTGCCCAGGAAGGCATCCACTTAGGACAACACCTTCTGCCTTGCCACAGGTCCCTCAACTGACACCCCAGACCATAGGCCATCCCTCTCTGCAGGCCCAGCACTCAGGAAGGCTGAGGACTCATCTTGTGGAAGGACAATAGGTCCAGCTTGTCTCCAGCCTCCTGCAGAATACCCTCAGCTACGGCTCCCCAGGTTTGTGGCCCCAAGCAGTGACCTTGACCTGATGCCCCATCTCATTTGCCAGCTAAGCTTGAAGGCAGGCTTGGCCCACAGGTTCAGAACTGGCTCGACACATACATAAGAGCCAAGCAGACTTTATTTCTGCTGCAGCCTCTGTTTGTCCGGATGTCTGGGCTTTTCCACCCTCCACCCTTCATGGTTGCCGCAGTGCCAGCAGCTGTGGCCCACGGCCAACCTCACTGTCAAGGTTCAGGGATGCTGCAGTCATAGCAGAAGTTGAAATTGGTGGGGGGCGGGGGGATGGGAGGTGGCTGCTCAGGAATGGGCACATTCTCCAGCTCCAACAACCGCAGCTTGGTCTCCATCGTCAACAGCTGTTCCAGGTCCAGCCGAGTCTGCTCACTACCCATGGGACTTCCCAGCAGGGCGCTCAGCCCATCTGTCCACAGGTGGAACTGGGGACAGGGCCAGCTCTGTGAGGGCCTGCCCATCTCTTCCCCGGCCCATCTGCCCAACTCAGCTCAGCCTGGCCCAGACACTTACCTCCCGTTTGGATGGGGCGATGAAGTTGAGGTATGCCTCCTCCTCCCCATGGTCATAGCTGACTGAGAAGGCTAACTCATAGAGATCCTGGGGAAGCCAGGGAGCTGAGAGCACTGAGCAGGGAACAGGGCAGGGCAGATGTGGGTGGGAAGGAGCCCCTGTCTTCCACTACACTCACCTTGTTCTGCTTCCCTGAGCCTTTCTCCCGGACGTGGGGGCAGTCTTTGCCTGTTAGCAGTGCCTTGATATCAGCCACAGGGACTGCAGGAAGAAGGCTAGGCTGATCACTGGGACCCAGGTGGTCCTGCGACATGGTCTGGGGAGAGCAGGTGGCTGATCCTGACCCTTGCCCCATTCTTACGCTGCTCAGGTAGGCTCTCAGGGGTGGGTGGGCTGGAACCCTCCTCCACGTCCCCATACTGCAGCACCTTGTGGTTAGGGGACAGGCAGCAGAACCACAACTTGTCTGTGGGTAGAAAGGGAAGATGGAAAGAGTGACAAGAGGGTCCCTGACCCCAACCCAGCCACCCAGCCACTCTCTGCCCACCCTCCCCTCAACCACCCTGGCGTCGCCGGCTGCTGATCTTGCGGAAGAGTGTCCCCTCACAGAGGCGGAGCAAACGCTGCTGGCGGATCAGGCCCATGAGTTCCGGCTTCAGCTTCTCCCGCAGCTCCCTGGTGGGGCAGGGGTGGGGAGGAGGTGCTTGGTGACTGGGACTGGGGCAAGGCCCATGGGCACTAAGGAAGGTGGAGCCAGGACGGGGATCCACTCCCATGTACTCACAGTATGGGAGGGGCCAGTGTGCCCTCCTGATGCAGCCGCTCTGTCTGTCTCAGCCGCAGGACCTCCCCGTAGGGGAGCGCGTTCACCTTGGTTCGGAAAAGCTCCAGGGAGCTGGGCTTCAAGGCCAGCGTGCGGGCCAGCTGCTCCCGCACCACTTGCATGACCTGGAGTCACCAATTCAGCTCAGTACTATGCTCTGGACCCCTACTCAGAAGAGCCCCTGCCCTGGCTCAGGTCTCCTAGCTTCCACCCCACCCACCTTGTCAAAGTCCTCCTGGGTGGCCCGCATCTCCTTCCAGGTCTTATTAAGCAGCTGGATGCTCACACAGAAGAGCTCATGGAAACTCTGGTCTTGGCTGAAGAACATGGGTGAAAAATCCTGGGCTGTTTCGGAGCCTGGAGCAGGGGGGCAGGAGGGGCTCAGGGAGAAAGTGTGTGCAGCCCCTGGCCCTCTCTGCCCTTCCGTCCCCCGTTCCTGGACACGCTGTGCCCAGTCCACTCACAGGGCTCCCCAATGCGGAGCAGCTCACACAGCAGCACAGTCAGCTGGATGCTGCTCCGGGCAAAGGGGCACTCATGCTTGTCCTCACGGCTGCTGTTCTCCAACACAAACTGGGGTAGTGGAAACAGAGAATGGGATAGAAGTCGCAGCTAAGGCAATACAGACTCTGCTTAGGTGGCATCCTACTGTATCCCTTCCACCATATCACTGACCCGGCTGTAAGCACTAGGTGCATGTCTGGAGAAGTAAAGCATGTTGTCCAGGGCCAACAGGCCGGGGGGCACTCGCTCTAGATCCTGTGCAGGGTTGCTGTTCTGGGGAAAGAGGGACAGGTAGCTCAGTAAGGACTCCAGGCCTCTGGAACAAAGCAGCCCTGGGTTGAGGCAGGGGTGGGGAGCTAGGGAGGGGTTGCTCACGGAGAAGCCCAGTTTTCGAAACTCGCGGGCACAGAGGGAACGGCGACGGTCAGCACTCAGCCCGGTGCCCAAAGACTCCCCTTCAGGATCAAAGGCAGCCTGGCGCAGGGCCTGCAGCTGCTCCCGCTGTTCCTGGGGTCATTGTTGTGGAGTAAGGGAGTATCAGGATCATAGATTCAAGGCCATTCTCTAGCTGGCCCCAGCCTTGTGCACTCCAAAAGCACCCACCTGGCTGTAGGGATCCAGTGGTGTCCGCATACGTGGCTCCAGCAGCCCCAACATAAGGGCCTGCAGTACGTACAAATGATGAGCCATCTCATCGCCCAGCGGTGCTGCACTGTGGATGATGTTCTGCAGAACGGCCAGCCCATGGGTGTGAGTGTCGGCTTACTGGGAGAGGGAAAGTGGGGAGGGGTCTGCCTAGCCCAGTCCTTCCTACCTTATAGATGAACTGGCGAAGGTTTCTCTGCCACAGGTAGTCAAGCATGTGCTGAGTTGGGTGGGAAAGGGACTTAGATGATTTAGCCCCACCATGAGCACCCACCCTGCAGTCCCGGGATAGAGCACAGTACCCACCAGCTCCTGCCCCCACAGCCAGCCACCAGATGGGACACTCACCTTGCGTTCAGTAGAGCTGGCCCCCTGCAGCAAGGCTGTCAGCAAGGCCATAGCCTTGGTTTGTAGCTGCTGGTTCATCCTGGGGCAAGACAAGGAGGGCTCAGCTGGCTATCCAGGGTCTCGGTCCACACCCCTCATCTGTATTCCATCCCCACCCCCAGACACTTACACCTGTAGGTGTACCAGCAGCCTATCCAGTGGCACCTCACTTTTGACCAGCTGGCCCAAGGCAGGGCTGCTCAAAGTCACACTCTCCAACAGCCTGAGAGCCAGGGGCTGCACAGATGCATCCATCAAGTTCATGTTCACATAGCATACCACCTGTAACAGGGGAAGGGGATTGTTAGCATTTCACCACCATGGAAGGCCAGATCCTGACCCCACCCCTGCTGCCCCTAGAAGAGGCAACCCACCTTCCTAACAAAAGGGATGCTGAGCGTCTCCCAAGACACCATGCCATGTTCCATGAGCTCCAAGAAGGCCCTCAGTGCAAGGGCCAGCAATTCCCCTAAGCTGGGGGGACATATGGGGCTGAGCAGGACCAGACCAGGACCCCCAGCCCCACCATGTCCACCACCCACCACAGTCCTGTGCTCACTCATCTCCATCCTCAATGATGGTGCCTAGTCTCTGAAGCCCATCACGGCTGATGACCTCCTGGGCAAAGGTCATGTCTGGGGCCAGCAAGACGAGGTGC